ATTGCTTTCAAAATCGCTCTGTTTCGAATCAATAGATTATATGTCGTGACTATAACACGAAATGCCGTGAGTGCTTCATCCTCTGAACACCACAGGATGGCGACTGTAATGCACATAACATAGGTACGCTCCTCTGAAATGATTGTCCCCTGCAATTATTATTATCCCTCAATCGAGTTCGCTATTCAGCTAGCTAACGTTAGCTTAAACAAACGTAACATGCAACGTTAGCCTAATCTAAAATGCTCTACTACGGCGTACCTTTCATGTGGCTCGTCAGCGCAGACTCTCTCATCGTTATGTTTGCAAACTTTGCAGGAGGCTACTCGTGGGCTTGACCCTCGTCTTAGCCATGGCTTGTATTTGTCTTCTGCTAGCCAACGCTCGTTGAAACTGCAACCTCCTGGCACAGTCATCTATCACGGCACGTCCACACAGCGGCGTGCGTTGACGCTTGCCGGCGGGCGTGTCTGACACTCGACCAACAACCAATCACATGAATCTCCCGCCCCTGACACACAAGCAGCGGTTTGATTGGCTAGAGCTTGTACTGGCATATGATTCGATTGGCTGACGCTTCTGCCGAGGCGTCAAAAGTTGAACATTGCTCAACTTTTGCAGCGAGCCACGCCAGCAACGCTCCGCGTCGCTTCCCACGATGCAGTTCGGCTAAAAGTGACGTCACCCCATTCAAAGTGAATGGGCAGAAGCGTTGGAAGCTTCAACGCACGCCGCTGTGTGGACGGGCCGTCACTCATCAGAATGCCCAGGTCACACGTAACACAAACACTTGCAGGTCGCGCGCATAACGCGGGAAGGCCGCAGCGGAGCTGTTTTATGTAGAAGCGAACTATTCAGTCAGACAGCAATTTATTGTAAAAGTAAAGCATTTACATTTTCAAGCACTTTATCTCAATTTCAAGCACCATTCCCAAAATTCAAGCACTTTCCCAACCTTGAAAACACCACGTCAAATTTCAAGCATTTTCAAGGATTTCAAGCACCCGTACGAACCCTGTAACAAAGAACAATGCTGCAGTGATACAGTAGGTGGTGATAATGCTCGTCTGGTTGCAAGTCGCCATTAAAAAAGAAGAAGAAGAAGAAGAAGAAGAAGAACGAAAACAGAAGGTTGAATTGAGCATGGATCTATAGAGAAACAGCACCGCAGCCATAGGCTGGACCTCGGGCCGAGCGGTCTACAAACTGAGACGGTCTGGTCTATCGAGGTTTTCTTGTTTACATCACCTGGCGCAGCTCGTGAGGTGGCCTAGCAAGTAACCCGCTAGCAACATGCACAGCTGCAATAAGCTAACAAGCTAATTGAGCCAGAACGTTTCCTTTTTTTGTTTTAACATTTATTGAAGTAATTGATATTTCAGGCTGAGAGGACAATGGCCTGTTAAATATGGTTGATTAAGCTGTGTACTTGTAGCCGACAGATATGTTAGCATTAGTTAGTTAACAGTAAGTAAATATAAGACTAACCTATGTACTCCAGCTAGCCGGCTAACCTACATCTGTTGCTCCCGGTCTGCACGTTTTACGTTGCTTAAGGTAAGTGAACATGAAACTATTCAGCAAAACTTTCAATAATAATCTAAGGTATTGAGTTTTGGGATATTACTTGCATACAAATCTGCCTTCAGGTTTCTAAAATATACAATATGTGGTAAATTCAACAGTGGACCCAGCAAAGATTCACATTTTTGCATGATTTTAGTTATTGATTTGTTGCTGTTACTTAATTATACTTTTAATAAATTCAAGTCAAGCTTAGTTACATGTCGTCACCTTCTTAAACTAATGGCCTAAGTCATATTTTGGAGAAAATGTTTTTTTTGCCTAAATCATCTTTTCATGATGCTGGCCACCTCTGGTAAAATTGCCTACATCCTTATTGAAAAGAAAGTGCTGTTCCTACCCTGATAGTATAATGGCCTATGTCAAGAGTGTGACTTAGGCAATATATAAAAAAAAAAAAAATTGCTTAAGTCACATTGTCTTGTGACTTAGGCCATTTGACAAGCTTTACAATATGGCTGCTTCAAAAAGAAAGAAAAACTAACAGATAAATTAAGTTATTTTCATGGTTCAGGGCTTGTCCCCTGTTGGTAAGTGATGTTTACTATACTATAGGCTAGGCTATAAATGTTGTGTAGTTATTTAGTCTTTTAATTTCTAAATGTATAGTTACTGTAGCTAATGTAGCTACTGTAGGTACTATAGCTACTGTGGCTAATGTAGCTACTGTAGCTCCATGAAGCATGCACACATTTCCCTCTGGGACAATAAAGACTCATCTAAAAACGAATCTAATCTTTCAAAACTAACGGTTACAATTACAGCATAATTATAAATAAGGAAAAGTACATTTTGCGTTCGTCTGTTTTCATTCTTAATATTGTCCTTTTTCCACATTACATTTCCATCTTATTAGGAAAGATTAAATGTTTTTTTAACTGAATTTGGCCAAATAATATTCATTAAATAGCTTTAATGTATTAATGCATAGGACCACAGTGCAATTACAAAAATGTTTTTCACAATGATCACACAGTTGTGACCGTACGCCTACTCCTTTTTGGTAGGAGATGCACTTGACTTTTCAGACACCGATCAGGAATCATCCAATGAAAATGAGACTGTCGTTAAAGAGGTGGAGCAGCATGTACCAGGCCAAGACACTGTGGGTTTTTCTCAATGTCGAGGACGCTTCCTTGTCCTCCGAGTCAGGTTCATCAGAGGCTAGGCAAGATTAATTCCTGGCTTTCGGAGAACGAAGAATGGAACAGGCTAGCAAGTGTGCAGGTGTGCGTCATATGAGAGGCCCCGCCTTACATTTTCTGCCAAAGATTTTGGGAATTGGTCCATGCGCAAAGCATTGTGGGGATTTTAAGACCGCGGAGTCTACACATGTGCAGCCTTGAAATTTCCAGCAACGAATTACGCCGGCCTCGGTAGAATTCCAAGGATCCTGGACATTGGAACAGTCCTTCGGTGGCACTCGATGACGTAGTATCCTTGAAATAGTGGCTCTGGAGCAGCCTTACTCGACATTGAGAAACACCCTGAATCAGATGGAGCAGACAATAACCTAAACACTTTCATTGAAGAAGAGTGTTGCTGAAGATGCCTTAGCAGAACCGTCCACACCATGAAGAAGACATAGATGATGATGATGTTATCATTGACCCAAACTACAATCCATCCTCTGATGAGTCCTCTGTCCCTGAAAATGAAGACAGTCTGGCAGCAACTTCAGAACATTATGGTCCTCATCTAAAGGATGTGTATGAAAACAATACGGTCAAAAGGAAACAACATAAATACCTCAGCCCAGAAACATGGAAGCAAAATGAATCCAAGAAGAAACGTCTCAAAGGAATGGCATACAAGGCCAAATGTGGCAAATAAATAGCTGCCTACAAAAGCTATGGGCCTTCCCTGCAATTCGAAGTTCTGTCAACGAGTCACGACTTGAGACTGGCAATCCATTACAGAAGAGCAGAGGCAGTGGATATTTCAGAAAGTTTGGTCAATGGACAACTGGGAAGAACATCGGTTATACGTCACCACTTTGGTCACAAAGGTTGCCATGAAGCAAAAGAAAGAAAGTTGGTGAGGGATCCAGGCGCAGTTCATCATTTTCCTATAACTGAAACTTCAGGATGGAATAAATCTTAAAGTGTGCAAAGCTTTTTTTCTTCAACACTTGGTATCCCTGAAAGAACCATTACACTGGCTGAACAAAAATACCATCGACCATGACGAACAAGTGGCAGACCCGCCAACTACATCTCCACCTAAGAGTGGCAAAAATGCAAAGCTGGAAATGGCTGTTGCAGATTTCCTTAAGGACTGGTTATAGGATCTGCCCACTGTTGATTCGCACTACTGCCTACAAAGACACGAAGTTCCTTCACCCAGGCACAACCATCTCCCAACTCTATCAGGAATATCAACAGGCAGCTGCAACTGCTGAAGTTGACGCTCTGCCAATCAAGGTGAGGAGGTTTCAGGACCTTCCATCCATGAAACATGTCATGCCCTTCGAGTGTCATCAGCTTTTTGACAATTTGTCACATAATTAGACACACACACAGCCACACACACACACACACACACACACACACACACACACACACACACACACACACACACACACACACACACACACACACACACACACACACACACACACACACACACACACACACACACACACACACACACACACACACACACACACACACACACACACACACACCAAGATGACTGAGAAAGGTTCAGGGGAGAAACTGATTTAAATGGAAAAGGGTTAGCTACAATTAAAAACACAGCAAAGAAGAGCTGGAGGGAGTAGTGAGGAGAGGCACATGCCTCCTCAGGGTTTGCTTTACTTGCCTTTTGTTTTATTTAGCTAAGAGTGATTTAAGTTGTAGCTTTTGAGTTTGCTATATTGAATTAAAGGGCCAACCACGGCCAAACTGCCCTCTGTTTCCTGAGTCTCTGTATGCTCCTCTAGCATTTTAAACTGTTAGTGTCTGACCCAGCCCCATGGTCTGTCACAGTAATGCGGAAAAGAGAAGTGCACTGTTTTGCCTAAGTCACTTACTCCAGAAGTAATAAGGCCTAAGTCAGGTTTCAAATTGCCTAAGTCACAACAACATGTTCGTAAATTGGCCTAAGTCATCTAATCCTCTTATTTTACACAATTGACAGACAGTGTTATTTGTATGTCAATAGTCATATATTGTCATAACCTTTTTGTGTGAAATAATTAATATATATCATATATTCTATATTTGGTTAAGTTTTTTCTGTTTTTTGAAAAACTTTCAAATATGACTTAGGCCATTAGTTTAAGAAGGTGACGATGTGATGGTAGCTAGTTAGTGCTCTTACCTGTGTGCCTCCTCCACAACCAGACTGTATTCAAACTCTTAAGTACCAGTTCTATCTTCTTTAAACAATTTAAAAAGACAAAATCAACTACATTTATTGATATACCAATCTTTATTTTTGGGGCCTCTTCTTCTTTTAAATTAAACTTTCCGACGTGAGATATTGAGACAGCGTGCAGAGACTTTGGGAGAAACCTCAGCGTGACGGATGTCCTGTCTGTGGGTTTGGCTGGAGAGGACTGAGGTGGAGAGGTCTTTCTCTGGGAGGAGGACCAGGCCTGATGAAGAAACCACCTAACTGCATCTGTGAGCCCATACTGGGCACAGCTGTCACAAACAAATGATGGTCCTGTTTGACCTTCTGTTCACAATAAAAGAGTAGTTTCTTAGTGAATGTCCTGTATTGGTCTTTATCTGATATCAGCTTTTCATTTTCTTCTGGCCCCTCTGCGAAAACGGTGAGGCAGTTGTGTCCTTCAGGTATGTCCTTTCCTAACAGAAATGACAAGAAACATCAAACCTATGACATTATTGCAGAGTAAGTGTGTTATTTATGAAAGAGGTGTTTGTTTATTAAGCAGCTGTAGAAATAAAATATTTTTTTATTTTAAAGTGTTTTTTAAATGCATCACTTTGTACTACAAAAATAATCAGATTACGAATGAACAGTCTGCAGTTAATCAACATTAAAATATATGTTATTATTAAATAATATTCAACGGTTGTCTCACTGCAAGAACCACTTTTACCACGTCTTTTACGGACAATATGTAGAGACAAATGGTAGTAATTCTCACAATGTAAAATAATAATTTCCTTAAATACATTGAAATGTGACAGCTGATTATAGTTGTTACTTTATCTATTTAAACCAGAACGTTTCTCAATTCTTTGTACAGTATGAAAGGAGTCTTTGTACCTTTTAGTCCATGCTGAAGTTCACTGATGTTAGGAATAGGTCTGTCTCTCGTGGTCAGCATCCTCTGGTCTGTCTGCATCACCTGGAAACTTTAAACAAACAGATATAAGTAACAATGTGTTGGTCACAGACTTTTTTTACATGCAAATGTCATGTCATAATCTTTTTGTTATCCTTAAAAAAAAGTGCTGGATATCACAGCCCTTACTGTATCTTATCAGTTGGATTGTGTATTATTGTATAGTTGGGATCCTTTTTATTTTACTGTTATTTTGGAATAGTTTTTCATGAGACAGTCAAATGAAATATATGTCCTATGCCATATTCACATTCATTTGTAACACACACGTAGGGGTAAAAGACAAACATCTTTAACAAATGTAATGCAATGAATAAGCTTAATTGTCACAGAAGCACACATAACGTCATATCTAATATTTAAACAAATCATTTCCTTGTCCCTAAAGCCTTGACTACGCTATAGTCCTTAAATGCAGGCATTACGTTACGTTCACGTTCTGCTGCCACAATAAGTCGGTTTCTCCAGTGTAATGGTAATAAAATGCTTAGTAAGTATTGGTAATAATATTAATAAAAACAACGTTTGGGTTCGCTCGTTTGATATGATGAACGTTAACCAGTAAGCTTCAATAATCAATTCCAGCTCAACAAACCATATTGCAATATCTACGTTAACGTTATTTCTGGAACCAACTGGAAATGTGACATTTGTGGTGACACGTTATTGGACATAATTCACCTTGCTTATTGTGTTGCCACACGGACCCTTTAGTGGGGAACACCTGTAGCTTTAGCTGCCATTCCTGCTAGCTCATCAGGCAGAGCAGTGCATTTGTTAACCTCTCTGAAAGTAATGGATAATAAAGATTGGAACTCCATTCTTAATACACCGCCTCCGACTCTCTTTTCACGGCACTACACTGGTGACCCTGACTTTTCCGAGAAAGTTTCCGGAAAATTAACGAACATGGCTGAGCGCGATGTTTTCATAAAGCTGCCGGAATTCTGGGAGCACGCCGCGGAGGCATGGTTCGCACACGTGGAGGCACATTTCGCCTGCCGACAGGTCTGTGACAGGGACCTAAAATACTACCATGTGGTAGCAGCGCTGGGAAGCTCCACGTCGTCCAGGTCGGTGGGATTCATCGCAGCCCCCCCACATCATGGCAAATATGAGGCGATTAAGGCCCTTCTCCTTAAGACATTTAGCTTATCTGCTAAGGAGAGGGCCCGCCAGATACTTGACATTCAAGGCCTAGGAGACAGCAAGCCATCCCAGCTAATGGAGAAAATGCTAAATCTGCTAGGGGGGGAAGATCCCCGGATTTTATTCACGGAGATTTTCCTGCGTCACTTGCCTCCCTGGGTACAGACGGCGCTGGCCAACACGCCTGTCACGGAGCCCCGTGCTTTGGCTGAGGAAGCGGATCGTTTTTTCTTGGCTACGCAACAGCCCGGGGCAGAGACGTTAGCCGCGACGCTCAGCGGCCCACCGGCAGTCAAGAAAGCGTGGCGGAGGCCGGACACGGCTGTGGCTAGCCGGCGTGGAGACGCCGGAGAGTGCGTTTACCACGCACGTTTCGGGACAAGGGCGAAGAGATGCATCGCTCCGTGCAGCTACAAACCCCCGGGAAACGGAGGGGCCGGCGCTCAGTAGTGGCTCTGAGCGTCGGCGGCACGTGCAGGCTCCTCTTCGTCAGCGACAGCGTTTCGGGGAGCTTGTTTCTGTGTGACACGGGCGCTCAACGGAGCGTAGTTCCAGCATCGAGTGAAGACGTCGCCCGTGGGGGGCACGGACCGCGATTGACGACGGCTAACGGCAGTCCCATTCGCACGTACGGCGTGAGGCCTATGTGTTTGTGCATCGGAGGACAGCGTTTCAGCTGGGATTTTGTGACAGCGGACATTTCTTTTCCCCTCCTCGGAGCGGATTTTTTGTGTGCTCATGGACTCTTAGTGGACGTTAAGAATAGGCGTTTGGTTGATGCCTTAACGTTTTCTTCCCTCGTGTGCACACTTGGCAGCGCAGCGTACGACGGGCTGTCAGGCTCGCTGTCAGGTGCAGACACGTTTCTCAGACTGTTGGCCGAGTTTCCAGACCTGTCGCTACCCACCTTCTCTGCGCTTACCACTAAGCATGGCGTGGAACACCACGTCACTACCGGGGGGCCTCCTGTCTACGCCAGGGCCCGGCGGTTGAACCCTTCTAAGCTGGCTGTAGCGAGGGCGGAGTTCGCAACCATGGAGCGCCTGGGCATTGTCCGCCGCTCCGACAGTCCTTGGGCTTCCCCCCTGCACGTCGTTCCCAAATCGAACGGCGGGTTCCGCCCGTGCGGGGATTACCGCCGACTCAACGACGCCACTACGCCTGACTGCTATCCGGTGCCGCACAATTAGGACTTTTCGGCGCATCTGGCCGGTACGGGGGTGTTTTCCAAGGTGGACCTGGTGCGTGGATACCACCAGGTGCCCATGCACCCCCTGGACATTCCCAAGACAGCAGTGATAACGCCTTTTGGACTTTTTGAGTTCCTGCGGATGCTTTTTGGACTCAAGAATGCCGCTCAGATGTTCCAGCGCCTGATGGATTCGGCGCTGCGGGACCTGCCATTTGTGTTTGTTTACCTCGACGACATACTCGTCGCCAGCGCTTCAGTGCAGGAGCACCTGTCTCACCTCCGAGCCCTTTTCACATGACTCAACGAACACGGATTAATCATCAATCCTGCAAAGTGCCAGTTCGGGGTGTCGGACATCGATTTCCTGGGGCACCGCGTCACCAAGGGCGGTGCGACACCTCTGCCAGCGAAGGTGGAGGCTGTTGCGGCGTTTCCTCGCCCGATCACAGCCCGGTCGCTCCGTGAGTTTCTGGGGATGGTGACTTTCTACCACCGTTTCATCGCCCGGGCCGCACACATCATGCGGCCGCTGTATGAAGCGTTGAAAGGCAAGACCCCCGTCCAGGAGATCGACTGGACAGCAGAGGCGGACAGCGCTTTTGCTGAGGTCAAGACCGCGTTGGCTCAGGCGGCTTTGCTGGCACACCCATCATCTACGGCTCCCATCTCCATCACCACGGACGCGTCAGACTACGCGGTCGGCGCAGTGCACGAGCAGTGGGTGGAGGGCGCTTGGCAGCCGCTCGCCTTTTTCAGCCGCCAGCTGACGCCTAGAGAACGCAAATACAGCGCCTTTGACCGGGAGCTCCTCTGACTTTATTTGGCCGTGCGGCACTTCCGTTTCATGCTGGAAGGCCGTGAATTTACGGCGTTTGTCGACCACAAGCCGCTCACCTTCGCCATGTCAAAAGTGGCGGAGCCTTGGTCGGCACGTCAGCAGCGGCAGCTGTCCTACATATCGGAGTTCACTACGGGCATTAAGCACGTGGCTGGCAAGTCGAACCTGGTTGCTGATTGCCTCTCCAGGGTCGTCATCGGTGCCGTCCAGTTGGGCCTGGACTATACTCGCATGGCGGCAGACCAGGTCACAGATCCCGGCGTCCAGGCCCTGAAGGTGGAGAGCGCGGGGCTGCGCTTGGAGGACGTGGTGTTCGGCGACGCGGGCATTACTCTCCTGTGTGACGTCTCTACGGGCCTGGCGCGGTCTGTCGTCCCTGCCAGCTGGAGGCGTCCTGTGTTCGAGGCTGTGCACGGCCTGTCACACCCCGGCGTTAAACCTTCGGTGCGTTTGGTAGCGGCGAAGTTCGTTTGGCAAGGACTGAAAAGGGACGTGAGGACTTGGGCCAGGGAGTGCGTGGCTTGTCAACACGCTAAGGTGCACCGCCACACGAAGGCCCCGTTGGAGCGTTTCCTGGTGCCTGAGAGGAGGTTTGATCACGTCAACATTGACCTGGTTGGTCCGTTGCCTTCCTCTCAGGGGTTTTCCTACCTCCTCACCATGGTGGACAGAACGACCCGTTGGCCGGAGGCGGTTCCGCTCGTTTCGACATCAGCCGCAGACGTTGCCCGGGCCTTCATTGCAACGTGGGTGTGTCGTTTTGGCACCCCGTCAGACATTTCCTCAGACAGGGGCTCTCAGTTCACGTCCGAGCTCTGGAACGCTGTGGCAGGCGGTTTGGGGGTTAAGCTGCACAGGACTACCGCTTACCACCCTCAGGCTAACGGCCTCTGCGAGCGCTTTCATCGCTCCATGAAGGCGGCCCTCAAGGCCGGCCTTACGGACGGTAACTGGGTCGACAAGCTGCCCTGGGTGATGCTGGGCCTGAGGACCGCACCTAAGGAAGATCTGCAGTGTTCTACAGCGGAGATGGTCTACGGTCAGCCGCTGAGAGTTCCGGGGGATTTCCTCCCAAATGCATCGGCTCCCTGGTCGGCGTCGGCCCAGCGGGCTTTCCTGCGTGACGCCGCTGAGGCCTTTGCTCCGATCCCTACTACTCAGCACGGTACTCAGGTGTCCCAGGACCGCAGAGCTCCGCTCGGCGGAGCACGTGTTCATCCGGCACGATGCGCACAGAGGCCCCCTGCAGCCCCCTTATGATGGGCCTTTCCGGGTCTTGGAGCACAGGGACAAGCACCTGGTGGTCGACTTGGGTGGCAAGGCCGAGCACGTCTCGGTGGACCGGGTGAAGGCTGCTCACCTGGACTTGGACCAGCCTGTGGTGCTCCGCCCCCCGGCCTCGTCCCCTGTCACGGATTTAAGACCTGTTGTTCCGGTCCCTCCCCTTCCGGGGGCCGCACAGGCGGGAGTCACTTTTCCGACTCCCGTGCTCAGGAGTCGTGGGGGGCGGCGTGTCGTTCCTCCCCGCCATGCTGATTTTGTTTATGTGTGAATTCTGGGGGGGCTTGTGTGGTGACACGTTAATGGACATAATTCACCTTGCTTATTGTGTTGCCACACGGACCCTTTAGTGGGGAACACCTGTAGCTTTAGCTGCCATTCCTGCTAGCTCATCAGGCAGAGCAGTGCATGTGTTAACCTCTCTGAAAGTAATGGATAATAAAGATTGGAACTCCATTCTTAATACACCGCCTCCGACTCTCTTTTCACGGCACTACACATTCATATTTTTAAGAT